GCGAGGTGAGCGGCCGGGGAGGGCCGCGCAGGGCCGCGCAGCAGGGAGGCGGCTGTTGTCCGGCTGGCTGGCCGGCTGGCCGAGAGCCGTTTCGTTTTCCCGTGGGATGTGGTAGGCGTTCGGGGGGCTCCCAGGGAAACAGTGGTGTGCCCCTTTGGGCAAGGGGAGATGGTCAGTTTCTGGTTACTCGTGGGCCTGCTGGGCTCGGGGGATTTTTCACAGAAGTTGTGCTGATTCTCTTTCACGAGTTCAGGAAGGAGTCTTCAAAGAACATTTCTGGTGGGCCCTTGTAAGCTGTGTGCTGTGAATATCCAACTTGTTGAGGCGCTCAAAAAAAAAAAAGGGTCATACAGAAATCCTGCTGGGCCTGTTCGCTACTGCAGAAGGCTCCCTTTCTAGTGGGCAGGACGCCAGGTGGAGTAACTCCTGAGAAGCAATATGCTCTTTGTGAGGGGGAAGTCTTGGGGTGCAGGAGGTGCCCCTGCAGCAATAGTCTCTCATGGAAGCAGTTTATTTCTTGGCCAATAAAACTAATCTTTCTCCACTTTTCTTAATACTAGTCAGATAGAACGCTGTATTAATCCAGAAGGTGGGCTAGATAACTTGTTCGAGATCTTTTCTAGCCTCCTTCTACTTAAAGGAGGAAATAGAGCTGTTACAACACTGTACTTGATGTCACCTCTGTCCTAAATGCCCCCCTCTTGCTCATACTCTTTTCTGTTTTGCTTGCTTTGGGAGTATGTGGTTTCTTAGACATCCTCCTCATGGAAATGGGGGGTAGGAGTGGAGGGCAGAGGGGCAGAATGTATTGTTGTGCTGTCACCACAAGTCATCTTATTTTCATCATCAGGGGAATGCCTTAAAAAATACAGGTGTGCTACATTCTAGAAGCTACCCAGCTGCTTAACTGTTTTTCCTATTTTTAAAAAGTGTGCATATCATTTGCAGTCAGGGTATGGGAGAAAACTTGCTTTTTTTATCTTCCGATGCAAGTACTATTACTGCATTGCTTTATGCAGAAATTTAGTATCTAGTATAAATATGAATTAAACAAGCATTCCTAATATGGATAAAATGAAATATATCTTCCACATCAGTAGTCTCAGTTCATTCATCTGCAGGAATTGTTATTGTTGCTTTTGATTACAGCTTTCAAGTCTTTCTTTTTAAGATGAGAAGATGGGAAAACCAGGGAATCAAACCAGAACTTTTTTCCTAGCTTTAGCTCAACAGCAATCATTTAACAGTTGGTTTCTAGACCTGAATGGGTTCAAACTGCCTATGTTGGAAAACTCTTACTTGAATGTATTAAAAGTTCAGTGTTCAAGTTTAAAAGATTATAATGTAGTAAATTGTCAGATGATTTTTTTTTTCTTTCCATAATGCAAAGACCAGTTTAAGTGGGGAGTGATACTGGATCATATTTGAAATAGCCTAACTTTTCTTACTTTTCTTTTCCTGTTCTATACTGGAATTGGATAATAATCTCTGTAGTTTTAACTCCTGAAGTCATGATAGTTTCCTGTAAATCATTTTTGTTATAACAATTATTCCCTTGTCTTGTAAAGTCTCTTAGAGAAAACAGAATTTCAGTACCATTATTATTGTGTTGACTGTTGTTTCTGCTATTCTTTTTCTCTAAAAGAAGATGAAGTTCCTTCAAATCATGAAATCTCCCAGTTGACAAATGAGATGGGGGTGGTAAGGAGAAGAATTACGATATAGATATTACAAATTAAGGTTTTATGACTGATGGTTTGCTTGTAGTGGGGGATTTGTCAGCCCAGCATCACCTTAGCAGTTTTTTGTGCTTCTATAGCAGGTAAACTGAGTGGGAAGATGCAAAACTCTATTAATTTAACTAAAGTAGATATTAAGAAACAATTATGCAATTTTATGTAGAGAGAGAGATATATAAAAGGAACTCTTGTGCAGCCAGTAGACTGTAAAGGGTACACTGATGTTAATTAATTAAAACCCCATTGAATTAAATTGTTAGAAAATACCTTCATTTCCATCACGTGTCTCCATCTTCTTTCTCCAAGTGTACAGACATACGTACAGGAAAAAAGCAGCTAGGGTAGCTCAATTGGAAGGAGAAATGAGAGAGATGTCTGATTCTGTCTTTATGCAAATTTTATCCGGCATATTCACTCATCTAAGAAAATTTCTGTGTTAGGCCTTTCTTCTTTTTCCTGCCCAGATACTAAAATACAGTGTATCCTCTTGTCAAATGCAACTAACGAGTGGTAGATCGACTGTTCTTCTTACTTAACATCCATATGTGAAACTGAATGCTCTGTATTGACTTCTGCTGCTTTTTTAAAGTGTGATGCTTCAAAATGTTAAAGGAAACTAAAAAGTTTATTGGTAAATCCCTTCAGCCAGCACGACCTGTGCATCATCTGTCTTCTAAACAAGGTGAGTAGCATGGCTAAGATACAGTTCACTTTGCCAAAGCTTCAGTTGCTTTTAAGGAAATAACGACTTGTAAGATGACTTGGATTTTAATTACTTTGTTCAAACTACAGTGCTGTATAAATATCTTCCTCTGTGTTGATCTTACTACATCATCTCTGTGAGAAAATCTGAATTTAAACTGCATTAGGTTTATGCAGAACTCTGGTGGTGTTCTTCTCTACCAGGATGGTAGCTTGGCATCTGAAATTCTGGCTTCAGAAAGCTGGATCAGGATTCTCTATTAAATTTGGATTTCTTGGGTTAGTTGACTCCTGCTGTTGAAAACATAAAATACACATAATCTAAGGAATAGATTATTCTTTAGGTTTTATTGCAATTACAATATACTGCACTGTACTATTCTTATCTAGCCTTCATATAAGTTTAAAACAAACAAACAAGCCTAAGAAAAAAATCATGCAGTATTTATGTCAGGTGTGTATATTTTGGTTTTGTTTTTAAATCCCTGTATGCCTTCTAGATATTGCAGTATTACAGCTCTTATTATTGTTACATTACAAATTTTTGGTGGCCAGAGAAACAGTGACAGTTGTGCTAATGTGGACAGAAGTGAAGTGACATGATAAATTCTTACTTTGTTTAAAATTCATTGAAGAAATGGAACAATGGTCCTGTGGTGATTTAGAGCTTTTAAGTTGTGAATAAATGCCTGTATAATCTCTTTGCAGTTGGATTTCAGTGATCTTCTTGTAGCAAGCATCACGAAATAAAAATGCGGAGTCTATTTAAAATACATTTTCTTAATATTTTCTCTTATCTTCACTGGCATCAGCCAGTGCATTAAACTTTCAGGCTGAATTACCCAGTAACATTGAAGTATGTTTGCAGAGTAAGGTTGACTGGGTGAGTATTGAGTAAATAGTAGATGACGAAGTTGATGGAGTCTGTTCTGGAGTGCTATAAATTGAAGGTCAGCTGATCCCTTATGTTACCAAATAAAATGTAAACTCTATTTCCAGCTAGGAGTGTCCTTGAATCTGTATGGTATAAACCAGCAGTGTCAGAAGTGTTAAAAAGAAGTATGAGTTTTAGGAATGCCTTTCCCTGATATTTGCATGCACTAGTAGCTGAAAAATACATCTTCTGAGTTACTTATTTAAGAGTCTTATGAAAGTCTGTGTGGCGTTTCTTTAGTCTTCATTGAATTTAAGACAGCTATTTTAAACTTAAAGTACACATACTCAGTTTTTGCTTATTACGTGTAAAGAGTAACGTTAGACATAATTTTTGTTTTGTTTTGTTGGCACGTGCACAAATTCATTTGAGGCAGCAAACTTCACAAAACTAGATAATCAGTTCCAGTGCATTCAGTAGTTCTGTTTCATTGGCTCTGCTGGACTGGGCAATAAATGGGCCTTAGCATTCATAAAAAACCAAGACACACTCTAATGCTTTATTGCCAGAAATACGTGTTTTTAGACATGGTACAATGTGTCCTTCAAACTTGAAATTGGTTGTAGCTGTTTGCTGCAAAATGAAGTTTGTAGTGTTCCAACTGAAATGCTTAATGTTTCATGATTTGAATGTTCTTCGAAGTATATTGAAAGTTTTAAAATTTGTTGTTGTTATTGTTGTTAGGCCAAGTGTCTATGCCTTCATTTTTTATTTTAGAAGAGGTCTAATAATCCTGTAGTCCTTCCTTTATTGTATGAAGCTTCTGGAAGCTGCCTTTGACATTAAAAAAGGAAAAAAAAAGTCAAGGTGTTGGCAGCCTATCCCTGATCACACATAGGGACATTAACAGTTAATGCTTGTCTCTTGATCAATATGTATGGAGCAGAACAAACTATTACCTTTTAGAATAGGCTTGTGGTCAGCAGTGTTGTAATACTCAGTTTCATTAGTATTTGGCTACATGTAGATATGTGCTGCATTTCTTTGATGTTAGTATAGCTGTATTATTTCTTTTTTAAACTTTTTCTTTGGCATAGGATATTGAAAAAGTTTTTAATGCTTTGGACTGTCAGCTGTTGCATGGGTACCTCCAAATACCACCTGATTAGTACCCTGTGAATCCCTACTTGATGGGCAGCATTGGCCTGAAGGCTGGCATAGCAACTTCACAGAATATTATTCTATGTAGGAACATTCAGTATCTAGTTCTGAAGATATCTGGACCTGAATCTGATGATACAGAGTTGTGTATTACCAGTCTTTAATGAATCTTGCTGAACATTCTCTATGCTTCAAAAAGCGTTAGTGATTATATGAGAAAGCTGTACGTTGTTGTCCATTTGCTCTTTGGCTCCGGATATGGTGAAATAATATCCCCATTCCTAGAATAATATATATGTATGTTTCAGAACTTGTATATGTACTTCAAGAACTTGTTCTTCAAAATTGTAATTGTATTTCGGGTACTTTAAATCTTACTGCCTTTTTGGCAAGACAGTAGTAGTGCTCTGTATCTACAATCATAACACTTTAATTATCCTCATTGCCTTTCCTTCTTCCTCCAATATATTTCCTTTTACAGAATATAAATGAGCACAACACTAAACACACTGTGAGGTGAAAACCAAGAACAACTGCTGACATAACACTTAATATTGCTAAAGGAAATCAACTTGTTACGACTTTTTATACCAGTCATAGACTTATGTAGAGACCATCTATTGGAGAGAAATTGCTATAGGTTAGGATACAGGAAATGCAAGTTACTTTTTTGAAAACATGATGAATGATGAAGATTTGAAGAAGTAAAGCAGATTGTATTTGCCACTAACTTATAAATAGATTTTAAAAAATAAGAGGAGTTAGAAACAAAAAAAAAAAACCAACTCTGACAAACCAGGTTCTTAAAGCTGTGAAAGAACTGAAGAAGAATCTGGCGACTGAGTTCTCCAAACTGCTTTACTCTGGGATATTTAGTATGCGCACTTAAAGCTGCTTAGACTTCTGCCAGGAAAAAAGAATCATCATTATGGCACATCACAAGTACTGTTCAATGTTAGATTCAGCTCTGAGTATAAAGAACCATGAATTACAGAATTAAAACTGCTATCTGAGGAACTTCTAGTCATCTTTTAGTCTTAAGCCTTAGAGGAAGTGGAGAAGAGACACTGTTAATAATGAGCACAGTGATAGTCCTTGTATCTAAGATGTTAGCCTTGATTCTAGGGAATTTCCGCCAAACTGGTGTTCAGAGTGAAAGTGCCTGAATACTCACTGTGCCCTAACTGGCTAATTTAAACCAAAGAATAATTTTTATTACTTCATGGTATGCAAAGAATTTTCAGAAGATCTGAAGAGTGTTGAGTCCACTACCTCAGATCTCCTTGAAGTAGCGAGAGTTGAAAAGTCTCTATCAGTCAGTATCAGTTTTAATTTACTGCTTCTTCACTACCATTTAAAAATTACGTTTAGCTTCAGAAATACATGCCCTGCTCTAGGGATATTCTTTATAGGTGGATTCTGTTCTTTGTAGATGAATTTCAGATAGGAACATGTGTAAGACTATTGTTGTGAGTGGTGATACTCAAATCAAATGCTAAGTTTTGGACTGAAAACCAAACATAATAGAACTCCTCATTATAAAGCAGTTGACAGGATGATGTGATGGGAAATGGTGCAAGAAAAAATATAAAAATATTGTGGTGACATTGTGTGGCACATTGCTGTAACTTTTGCTTTATCATGCATGTCTTTTTTCTTGTGGATTTGAGAATGTCTTGTTTGTACTTAGAAAGAGCCTTTGAATAGCTAAGATTTGCAAAGACTAGTTGAACATCACAAAGCAGTTAGAATTTGCTGGATGGTTCTCTTGTTAATTTCATTCTCTGAAATCTGTAGATTTTTCATATTTTTTCCCCCAGCAGTTTTAGAAAAATCCGGAAAAGATAACTAAATTTCAACCACAGAAAATGGAAGTACGAACAGGGTGGATAATATACTAGAAATATTTTGCCATTTCACAATTTGTAGTTTTGGTACACAATGAAAGCTGGTGGTGCAGTTATGGCACAAAGTGTTAACTGCTGTCTCTGTCCAGAAAGTAGGATCTCTTTCACTTTTGACAAATGCTTCCCAAAATTTCAGTTCTGCCTGCCCCCACCCTCCTCCCAAAATCTGTCTCAGAATGAGATTAAAACTCCTCAGCCAAACCTGTGGAGCCTTTTGGGAACCAGGACAAACTGTTGAGGGTAAACTGCTTTCCAAACCACTCACTTCAAGGTTTTGGCATCTGGAAGGAACTCAGTGTTATACTGTAGATGTTGAGTCTTGATGCTTATGAAACCTTTTGCAAAGTGAGAGAATCCCAAGTCTCTCTTTTGGTCTTAAGGAAAGTACTTCCTGCTTTTATTATTCCCCAGTGTAGCAGCTTCTGGCTGTGTTCTGGGTGAGATAAGAGAAAAGGAGGAGATAATTGTGTTCTTTTTAAAAACTAGCAATAGCACTGTAAAATTCTGTCTAAAAGATTGCTGGCTCAAATGTTCGTACCTATACTGCTTTGTCAGTCATTGAACTATTCCTTTATTGTATGTTATCAAGAGTAACAAACATTATACAGGTTCAAATTAAACTTCTCGGGCATTTTACATTACCAGTATTCCTATTTACAATTTTCTGCAGTTTTTTTGCAGGACCTTCATCCTTCAAGTCAGAGATGCATCAGCTGTTACAGTTCTGACTACAGTGTAATTTGTGCAAGACTGTTTCTTTTCAGACTGTTATTATACTGAAAAGAAGATGGTGATTCAATTGCAAGGAGTAGAAAAAATGAACAGAATCCAGTTTTCTTCATGCAGAGAAAGTATTAATTGTCCAAAATCTTGGTGACTGGTGAAAGCAAAATCGATTACTGAAACTGTACAACTGTTATTTTTAACTAAGAAACTTAGAAGCATACATCCTTAGGTTCTAATATGCTTAAAGGAAATAAGCTCCATAACTTAATTTTGTGAAATATATCAAAAAAATGTTAACTCTTTCCTCCCTATTTTAGTTATCTGAAATGACTGAAGTGAAGATCTTAACTCAAACTATGATGTCCTGTCAACCAAAAGAGCATGAATCAGAAGCAAAAAAAGGTAAAATATTGCATGGAGATCTGTGTCAGAGTTGTATTTTCTAGATGGAAGACAGTTAAACTTTGAAGAGATGTGGGCTGCGTATCATTTTTTCTGATTAGCCAGTGCTTTGAGAGTTTGGCTTCCTTCCATGACACAATTTGAGAACAATATGAAGCATTTCTGGTTTTCACATACCACTCTAGAGAAAGTGTTAAAACTTGGCCATAACTAAGGTGGGAAGCCTCCACTGGTAGACTTGCTTGTATATATAAGGTTTTACCTGTCTCTCTTTTTTTATTTTTTCTTTTCTCTTTTTTTTTTAAAAAAAAAGCCAAAACAAAACCAAGAAAAAACAAACTCCAAACATAAAAAAGCTTCTTCACACAAAATCGTGGTTTTGTGTAAATGGCTTCTGTGTGTGGAAGTACAGATTTGAGTTACATCCTTTAGCCTGTTGCAGGGGTCAGTCACGGCATACAGACTATTGTATGCAACCAATTTAAGAACTTAGTAGTTTGGCTTCCTTTTCTACTCTTACTACAGTGCTTCTGAAATACTAATTTTCTGATGGTTAGAAATCACTTAATTTCTTCTATGATTAGTCTTGGACAGTTTGTTCTTGTGTCAACACTGTCCTTAATGTTTGCTCCTTATGCTTTTCTTTCTGTACTGCCTGTCACTCAGTACTCATAAAGCATAATAGTGTTTTTGTCATGGTTTGGTAGTTTAAACAAGCCAAACTTTTACTCTTTTTTTTCATTAATGGATAATGTCAGGTTCCAAATGTATTTTCACAGTCCTTCTCTGCACTGCTTCCTGCCTAATTCTTCATTCTTAAACACATCACAGGAACTGTGACAGTAATACAGGTTAGATCATTGGTTCATTGAGACAATTTTTTCTGTTAATGTCTTCCTGTAATCAGGCATCTCATATTTCCATCTGTAATCTCCAAGCCTTAAGTAATATCAGAAGACTTGGTTTGTTCTGTTGCTGGTAGTACTCAAGAATTGAAAGAATTCTGTTAAGTTCTATTAAGCCTTTCCTATTTTTCCTCTGTATGAGGTTAGCATCACCCAGGTTCTTGAGCAGTAATTCTACACTCTTGTGTGTTACTGACTTGAAAATAAGTCTTCCATGTATCCCCTTTCAGGTTCAGGTTTGTTTCTTCTGTTCTTGATCTTGGTAAATATAATAATGTTCTGTGCCTTGGATCTGGTTTGGTGTCAGGCTTGTCAAGTTCTGTCTGTTGGTGGTGGCTTTCAGATCCTTTCATTGATTCTGCTTGCGGTGTGTAGAGAGTATTGTGTTCTACAAGATCTTAAATTGCTTCTCATCAGATCCTGGTGTCTTACATAAGCCATCACTTTGGATCTTTTTTAGAGGTTAATTGCTCTGTGATGCCTTCCTGAGTCTACTCCACATTTGTCCATAATGTCAAACTTTTCCCAACACTTCATTTTCAAAAGGCTTTTGTTGGCTGATTGTTGTAATCCTTTCCTTCAGAGTAACACAACTTTAGAGGTCCTGTTGTTCAGGTACTACCTACAAATAAGTCTCTCCCCCCACCCCCCTTCTATTGCACTGTGAAATTTCCTTATTTCCAGCTGTACCTTCAGTTCTAGATAATTTCCATTTGATACCTGTTAGGTGGTAGTATGCCTTCAATTATCTGTCTCTACAGTTATTAAGTGCTTTTTATGGCTATCTCAGTCAATTCCTTGCTTTCGCTTAGAATCATAGAATAGTTTGGATTGGAAGGGACCTTTAAAACTAGTCCAACACCCCTGCAATGGGCAGGGACATCTTCAACTAGACCAGATCACTCAAAGCCCCATCCAACCTGACCTTGAATGTTTCCAGGGATTGAGGCATCTACCACTTCTCCGGGCAACCTGTTCCTGCGCTTTACCACCATCATTGTAAAAAATTTCTTCCTTATATATAGTTTGAATCTACCTTCTTGTAGTTTAAAACCATTACCCCTTGTCCTGTTGCAACAGGCCCTACTAAAATGTCTGTCCCTGTCTTTCTTATAAATCCCCTTTAAGTATTGAAAGGCTGCAATAAGGTCTTCCCAGAGCCTTCTCTTCTTCAGGCTGAACAACCCCAACTCTCTCAGCCTTTCCTCGTAGGAGAGGTGTTCCATCCCTCTGATCATTTCTGTGGCCCTCCTCTGGACCTGCTCCAACAGGTCCATGTCTTTCCTGTGTTGAGGGCTCCAGAGCTGGATGCAGGACTCCAGGTAGGGTCTCATGAGAGTGGAGTAGAGGGGCAGAATCACCTCCCTTGACCTGCTGGCCACGCTTCTTTTGATGCAGCCCAGGATACAGTTGGCTTTCTGGGCTGCAATCGCACATTGCTGGGTCGTGTCCAGCATTTCATCCACCAGTACTCCCAAGTCCTTCTCTGCAGGGGTGCTCTTAGTCCCTTCATCCCCCAGCCAGTATTGATACCAGGGGTTGCCCTGATCCACGTGGAGGACCTGGCACTTGGCCTTGTTGAACATGATGAGGTTCACATGGGCTCACTTCCAGGTCTCTCTGGATAGTGTCTGGGCCCCTCTGGATGTCATCCTGTCCCTCAGGCGTATCAACCGTACCACTCAGCTTGGTGTCATCTGCAAACTTGCTGAGGGTGCACTCGATCCCACTGTCTATGTCATTGATGAAGATATTATACAGTACTGGTCCCAATACGGACCCCTGAGGGACACTGCTTGTCACTGATCTCCATCTGAACATTGAACCATTGACCACTACTCTCTGGATGTGACCGTCCAGCCAATTCCTCATCCACCAAACAGTCTTACAGGAGGCCCATTATTCCTAAAGGAATAAACTTCTTTGTCACCGAGGATCAGAGATAAAGTTTGTCCCTTCTTTGCCTAATTCCTTTTCTCTTGTTTCTGCTCTTGTTTAAGAATGTCAGCTTAAAATACGGACATGGGTAGATGTATTATATCTGAGGCTATGCTAGAGTAGAGATATTGGTACAAACTCGAATGATAACATGCACGTTCTAAGCAAAGCCCCTGACTCTTGATGATTCAGTGTAAAACCCTCAAAACTGTTTCACTGGTATTGATCCATTTGCCAGTTTAAATGCAGAAGATCTCATAATTACTTTTAGCTGTTGAAAGACATCAACTTAATAGCACCAAGAAAAGAGACGCTCCGGTTTTTTTATCTGTGCCATAGAAATGTGTGCCACTTTGTGTGAGTTATAAACAGATTTTTTTAGGGTTTCAAGACCAGTTTGTGGTGTTTCTGTTAATTAGAACAAGATATAGGGAGTCTGTAGTATAAGGTTGGATTCACCTTTTTTTTTGTTCTTCTGTGTTAAAACAACAAACCCTTATTAGCTTGGAATAGTCTTCCATATTTACTAAGTCAATTTGATAAGAGTTAAGGTGAAATGCTCTGTAATTTACTACAAATTACCCTGATGCAAGGTCAGACTTAAATTACTGCTGGTTTTAATATTGATTTTTCTATTCCACATGCAGCATTTCCACCCTTCTGTAAGAAACCAAACCAGTTCTCTGAATTCCCAACCTTAATGCCTTAAACAACAATGTTGAACTTAGTGATTTTGTGTATTCACAGAAAGGATCAAATACAGCAGAGATTTCCTTCTGAAACTTTCCAGTGTTTCCCTCTCTCAGAAGAAGCCAGAGTTTCTTCCTGATCATCCAATTGTTCTTGAAAAGCCAGTAAGTGCATTTTTCGTATTAAGTGAAGTTATAAAAACAGTCATGGAGGGTTTGACAACCCATTTGATAGGGAACATTTTTCTTCAGACTACCCTGCCAAATTGATAAAACCTTCAAAAGACAGATTGTGCAGTTCAGCTCTGTTACTTTTATACATAACTTCCTCAGTCAGTATTTGGCATCTTACCATGGCAGGTACCATACAAAGGAAAAGGGTTTTTTCTTTGTTTTCAGGCAAAAGATAAGGTATGTTTCCAAATGTAAAGTCAGTATGAAATCATATTAAAGCTTTCTATTATGAAATCACAGTGCATAGCTTTGGTATTCTATGTGAATTCCATCTCTGTCTTTTCAAAATAAAAGAGAACAATCTTGATAAATTTCTGGCTTTGTGAAAGTCTGATTCCAGTGTTTAAGTTGTCCATGCCGTCAGTGTCCACTACAAAACTGTTAATGAGCTTAATGCAGTTTGTGTTATCAGCTCTGGTCTGTGTTGTTGGGGAGAAATGAATGATGAATGGGAAGGATGTCCAGGAGTGCCACCTTAACCTCTGAGATGAAATAATCCTCAAACACTTTGTATGCTAAGAGAAAAAAATCTAGTGGTTGGCATTCCACACACCAAGTGTGGGAAAACGTTCTTGGGTATGAACATTATAATACCAAATCAGGCTACATACTAGACTGCTATTGAGGCCATTGGGGTGTAGTTCTTCTAGAAATATTCCTGTCCTGGAGAAGTATGTCCAGATGACTACTGTGTTGACTATAATTCAGGGCAGTTTTAAACTTCTTAAATTTCTGTTCTTTGGAAAAGCAAAGTTAAACTAACATATGACAGTAATCAGCCTTCCCTGGTCTTACTGTTTTATTCGTCCTCAAGATGAAAGCTTTACTTGTTTGAAAACCTGCCTGCAGATAGGGAAGTTTCAGCTCTTGAATTTCCTAACTTCTTTTCCCTCCTCTTCTGTCGCTCAAGTTTCTAAGGGGGGCAAATTTTGATAATATATACCCTTTCACATAGTTATGTTCATAGGTAAAGGAGGACCCCCTCAGAAATGGAATCGGTGAACGAATGAACTCTAAAATTGCTCATGACATGGCTAAATTGCAAATAATTTGGATAGAGGGAAAGAAAGATAGTAAAAACTGGTGCAAGCCAAGATGGGTTGCATGTGTTTTAAGAGATTGTTTGGGACTGGAGGATTTATGTCTGTAAGATGATGTCATAAGTGTATCCAGTTATATACAGTCTTGTCTTTAGAAATAAGAGTGTCTCACTGTTTGTGAGTCCTGCTCTTAAAGTCTTTCCTCTGCTTTGTGTTAGTCATATATATGTAAGCCCCCACCTGCATATGCTAGTTTATCATACAGATAAAAAAGCAGTGAGTTTTCTGATTCTATTAAGCTGCAGAAGGGGATGGGTAAATTACAAACTTTTATTAGTCAGGATGTTGGGTTAGAATAACAAAGCGTATCACTTAATTATCAGTATTGGTGTCTTAAGCACAAAGTATGGATGCTTGAATAGGAAGCTAAAGGAAAAAAATCCTGTTCTCATTAAAAGAAAGCAAAAGCTGGTGATTTGCTTTGTGATCTTGGAGACAGTGTTGAAAAGGGTATTGCAAGTATACTGGTCTCATTAGTATATAAAGGTGATATTATTAGCTTGCCAGTCCTACTTCAGAAGTTAGTTCCACATTATAAGCATGAAACTTGATCAGTGATAGTCTGCATTTTTTTTTCTGCATTGACTAGAATGAATGTTTTGCTGTTAATATAAGATAAAACTGTCCGTTGTTGTATTCTACTGTTGAATTTTAGTGTAGACATTGAATTTTTAGTAGTTTGGGAGTTTGTTTGGAGGCATATTAACATGAATTAAACATGTAAGTTCTTTGGATGTGGACTGTGTTAAGATGTATTTTGCATGTCTGTATGGATATACCAGCTTGTTTTTCACTAAGCAGTTTCCTTCTTGGCAAAGAAAAGCTAAAAACTGCCATTGTTTCCAAGATCATTGTAAGATCTCAGTTAACATATATGAACCTTGTTAGAAATCCCATTGCCATATACTGAAATAAAAATTTTATTTGTGAGACACAGACACATGAACTGTACCCAGCTAGTCAGTTTCTATAAAAAGATTGCAGCACTTGGAGTTGTTAAGTTTTTCTGTATAGGAATTCAAATATAAGAATCTGTAAATAGAATAGAAGTTGAATGTTACCCAGGAGTGCCTTAGACTTGACTTGGCCTGTCAACTAATAGATCTTACTTTCAGGTCTCATATATTGGTATGAAAAGATACATGTTGAATTTCAAGAATGAGGAGTGATAAAACACATTTCAAAATTAGAAGAAAAAAAACCCAATAACTACAAACATTTTACGGGACAAAGACCTGCATTACTTCCTCTTCTGAGTTAGCTGCATCTCTTGGAAGACATTACTAGTGAGACTTTCATGAAATACAGGACTGATTAGTCAACATGGAAATAGGCGAGGCCTCTGTCTGTTCAGAATGTGGAGCTGGGTGTATAGTTCCTCTTAAAACACTGACAATGAGTAAGCAATTTTTCTTTCCAGGAGAGGGTTTATCTCAAATGAGAATAGCCCAAGCCCAATATCCCATAAAAGAATTGAGCCTGTTACGGATTTTTCTTAATACTACTTATAATATGTAGACTGGAGGAAAAACATTTAATAATTCTTGACCATGTAGTCTGAGAAGGCATGTAGAATCAAAGAAAAAGTGAAAATAAATTCAGAACAAATTTATCCAGAAAAAGCAGTGATTTCAGGCTCCTTCTGGTGCTGTATGGTGACATCAGTCTGTCATGTTAAATTGCCTGCTTTGTGTGACACCTTGCTTATTGAGACTGGGTGTCAGAGTTTGAGCATTCTGCACTGAAGTAGAGAACAGGTTGATTAATAGTGGAAAGCCTATAAGGACAAGTACAAACAGTTTTAGTTTTGATGCAAACAGTGTCTTCCAGGTGCTGTTTCTTACTAATCTGTTTAGTGATGAGACAGAATTATAATCCACAGCCTTGGTTTGGGTTTGGGTTGTTTTTTTTTTTTTCTACTTGTTTTTCTTTCCTAAGCATGTTTTTGGTAGCTTTTAATGAATTTTCCCAGAATCATTTAGTTTCGAAGGGACCTCTTGAGATCACCTAGTCCACCTCCTCTGCTCAAGCGGAGTCAGCTAGATCAGGTTGCCCAGGATCACGTCCAGTCAGGTTTTGAATATGTTCGCAGGCAGAGACTTCACAACCTCTCTGTGGAGAAATTGCACAACCTGTTGCAGTGCTTGGTCACCCACACAGTGAAAAAAAAAAAAAAAAATTTTTTGGGGGGGCTGTGAAAGCTGTGTCTCTTTCATCAGATCTTACTGATGTTCCCATTAGTTAAAAAGAAAAAAAAAAATCTTCCTCGTAGCCTTTGTGGTTTCTAGAAGAGTGGGAGAGATACAGACTAATTTTAAGGACATCCTGTAGCAGAGCTGACATGATAGTGAGAAATTAACGTTGCTGTTCCCAAGATCTGTAAGGTAAGCTGAGGTGGATTTCTGTGCAGTTTTGCTTGTGGCATCCTGATAACAAGTCACCTAAAGACAGTACTCTTTTCATAGAGCAGTACCAGAAATGATAGTAGAATGTTTGTATCCTGATGATATCATTATTCAGGACTTGTTTTCAGTGGAGTGTGCAAAACCACTTAATTTACTTACGCTGAACAGTAAGTGGTATTCAGTTGTTCCATTATCCATCCTCTTTCCTCTGCACTTCAGTTTCCTTCATGCAGCAGATTTCATGGTTACATGGGAAAATTCCAGTGTGTTTACTGATCCCATGTCACCCATTTTTCTGCACAGAAACCAGAGGGATTAATGAGATGCGTGTGTAAATTAAATGAATGATGCTTAAAAGGGGCAGAAGGAGGCCTCCAAATAAATTTCTAATGATGAACAGTCAATTCTATAACATGTCAACGAGCTTGTATTTAGGAGCAGGTGGTTGTCAACAGTTTGCCACTGAATTGAGTGTTCAGGTGGTTCTTTACCATCTTAAGACTTCCCAAGTTCTGAATTTTTGAAGTTATTGCTGAAGTATATGCCCATCTATGACTGAAAGCTATATTTCCAGGTGGAGAAAGCTCCCTAGAGTGGCTGGTACAAGGGAGGTGCTGCTCTTACAGTTAGTGGGCTATGGGTTGCATTTGTCCCAAAAGACAGTGGGATTTTTTTGAGATGTAGGGATCAGGGCTACCTATACATAGCTCAGTATTTGAAACCGAACTGATGTTACTGTGTTGACAAAGTCTTCCAAGAAGATTTCAGATTAAGTCTCTTTGATTAATGAAAGTAGTACTGTTTGCATTAAAAAAATATCAAATTGTTAAATGTACATGGAGTAGAAAAGGGTTATAAGCAGACCCATGAAAACTTTGTTTAAATGACCTCTTGTAACCGAAGTAATTTGAGGGTTTGTTTGTCTTGCAGGAAAAGAGCAACCCTTCTATTGACATATGCAAGAAGTGACAGGTTGTTTGGAAGATGAGAAATCCATCAGTGAAGGAGCAACGTATGATGTAGATCTTAAAAGATTTTTGAAGGTACTCGGGTGCCTACAGATGAAAGTAGGACCCTATGAAACTAACGGAAATGCCTGTTTCTTCCTGAATGCTTTAATTTTTAAATGCCTGAATGCTTTAAAAGTCAAAACTTTATTTGTAATGCCTGAGATGGTACTACAATTACAGTGAAAATAAATAATTTTACATTTTGCTGTGACAGAATTTGTCTGTGTTATATAGCCATACAGTTTGTCTGACCATAAGTTCTAAACCAATACTTGAGTGGGACTTTTTGCTTGCTCCCACCTCCCTTCCGTAGCAGTAATAACAGAACAACAAATATGGCTGTGTCAAATCTCAGATCCTTAGGATATGTAGTCCTCTAGCTTAAATTTTTCTTCCCCGCCCCCCCCCCGACTTGCTTTCTTCCTTAATTTGAAAACTCTGTCTTGACACAAGAGATTCCTTAATATTTTGTGGATACATACCTTCTTTCATGGTATGAAGTCTCTTGCTAATAACCGTTTCACTAAAATGAGACATCTTCTCTCATCATGGATCAGAACAAAAGAACTGCCTACGCATTGCATTCCTTGAAGTTCTTTGTAAATACTTGTCCAGTGGTTTTGACTTTGAAAAGTGGAAGTAATGGGCAAAATTGGGGAACAAGACAGATTTTAATCACGTCTTATATCGGTAAATACCAATGCATAGTTAATTCTTAAATTAGTATACTGTAGTGTTTAATAGTGAAGTGGAAAGCAGTAGTTTGAGTATTTCCTGAAAGCATCCTTCAGTTGAAAAGCATCAATAGTAGTTATTTTGTATGAATATCATTACCTTCAAAACCTGTATTAAGACCTACAATAACATCATTTGGGCACTGAAAGCAATATTTTAACCTCTGTCACAAATGATAATGGAAGCTAAATGAGAATGTGTTGAACAGTAATTGCAATAGTTGAGAAAACTTTCCAGTTGCATTTAATAAGACACTAGATTTCTTTCCCTGAACTATGTAAATAAAATTGCTTGCATTCAGTTTCTTTTACATTTAGCAGCAGTTAGTCAATTAAAATAAGCTTGCAAGTATACTCTTATTTGTATGTTGTTTACAAGTAACGTTACAAAGAACTGTAATCTGGTTGGTTGGTTGGTTTTTAATCACTGGGAGTTTTTTAGAGGGAGTCCTATGGATCTTTTTCCTCAGTGTGTGTTGAAGGCAATTTCTGTGTGTAGCTCTCAAAACTTTTTAAGTGAAACTTCTCAAACTTGTTCTTGTGTAGGATTCATTAAAGTGTTTGTTTACTAGTAAATACACAAAGGAGAATAAGTGTTAGAAGGACATATGGCCTACTAGAACTTCCCCCCCCTTTCCGTCCCCAGCATCTGATTGACATGAAGTTCTAAAGCAGGTTATTTTAAGAATAATTTTAATATCGTTTTTCCAGTGAAAAGGAAAAATGTCAGAAACCTCAGTGTAGTGTGTCAGTTTTCACTTAAGGATTTACCCTGCCGCAGTGTCGACATGTCACTGTATTTCCTTTGTTGGCAGATCAGTAGTGACAAAAGAAAACATGCTGTACACTAGACTGACATCTTGGCATAGGAAAAAAGGCAGCCAGATCTTCAGGAGTATAGGTAGTTTTATTTTGCTAAAGACAAGAAACCTTTAAACTTTCACTGATACATAATTTGTGAGTATAATAGGGTTATTTGGCTGCCTTTTTAAGAATGGACATATCTCTAGTTGGATCATGTCAGTATGGGAAAGCTTTGGACTTCAGTATTAAAAGCATTGACTTTTGCTGAGTTACCGTAAGAAGATTTAAAGGTGAAATTTGTCTCTAACGTGGGCATCTAAATTTAGGTGTGTGGGTATTGCTTTCTGACGTCCACATTTGTGTAGAGAAACTAGGCTCCATTGACTCTATTGGCAAAGGGTTTGATTCAGTTGCCTAATGGTAGGTATCTGGTGTGATCTGAGACAGGTAGGATATCTGAAGCAGCTGCCTGGGGCTGGCATAAATGACACACAACCTATAGGTAACTCATGTCTTTCTCAGCTGGGGGCTGAAGACCAGTTGGGATACCCTAGAGCATCTCACATGTACTAGATGCCTTTGTTTAGGCAACTAATTTGCCTCAGAACTCCATTGATACAATAGGAGCTAAGGTGCCTTGGTCACGTGCAGGTACCTAAATGAGACACCGTTCTTAATCTTGAGCTCAATCCTGGTCATGGTTTCTGGAATACAGAACCTTACTACAATGAAGGTTGCTTGTATGTAGTCTAAATTCTCTGCTTTTGATTACATATGGTAATGTGTTGGTTGAGTTGAAGTAAAAACAGATAAGATATTTTACTGAATGTGAGTTTTAAGTTACTTTTTGGGTACTGTTTGTAACCTTGGACTGCTAGATGAGTGGAGAAAGTGGTCATTTAGCATGTAGACCTTGTCAACCTGTGTTGGAGGTGTCAGGTTACAATTGTCACTTGCTTTTCATTCTTGGGCTGGAGGACACACCTACTGCTCAGATGCAGGGGACAACAGCAAGACTTCTTAGGGAATAAATTATTTCCTCTTGCAGGTTTATGGCTGTTTATGCTCTAACGGCAGTTTCTCTAATGACTTTTCAGTGAGCTGCCAGTGATCTAACGAAAATATTTTCTGAGTGGTCAGGACATAGGGTTCAAAGCAAATTGGTTGTGAAATGTTAAGACTGTGGGTACCTAGTGGCTTGACAGACAGGCAGTTGTGTATCCTCTTGTGAGGGTAGGGGCTAGAGGCTGTGAAGAGAAAATGGTCCTGCCTTGTCCTGTCATGGGCAGAAAATACCCTGTATGAGTGAAGTTGTGTATTAACACAAAGTTGTCCCTATATTTATTCTCCTAATTAATGACTTACAGCTTCTCTGAAACATACGACATTTATGAAAATGTGTGTTCATGTTCATACCTGTTTCTTCTGTAAAAGGAGAAAACAGCAGCATTAAGTAACAACTGTTTATTAACGCAAGACTAAAGCTTTTCACAAATATTTAGTCATAACAATCAAGATGCACTTTTCTGTGACAGTTTGGACTGAATATACACAATAAACCGTTTAGCACATTTGTCTTATTTCAGCTTTTAGAATGCATCATTTCACTGAACTGGTCACAAGAAGAGAAGGTAATAATGTGCAGTTTTCCATATTTTAAAATGGAAAAGATCACATCCATAATAACAAACAGTATCACATCATAACTTCATAATCCAGCACACCTGTACACTGCTATATGAATGTTACTGTAATGAAAAACAATGCGATGTTAACATTGCTTGGAACCACAGCTTCTAGTTGTTATTGAGGACCCACCATGATGCTGAAAGAGAGGAGAATTTATTTATTTGTTAACATAAACAGTATTTCTTTTTCTACCTCTTGTAAAAATGCTAAATAAAATAGCTATAACGTATATAAAGAAATGTTCATTTATATATGCAGCTAATAATACTTTATTTGAAAGCTGCATACTTTCAAGGACAAAAGCTCTCTGGGCAGGGGAAGAATACTTAAAATACTAGGAGAGCTGAATATAACTGGTGGGGGGATGGCTGTAGCAGAAGAATTTATATCTCCTTTTGATAACATCCAAAGAAACATTAAAATGTCATAGGTGCAGTTGCATAGAATTAAGCACCCAGATCCCAGAGAGCAAACCACATAAATCCTCACTCCTGTTCTGCTGTGTGTGTCAGTATTTAAGGTGAGCTCTGTGTCCCCTGGGTGATTTTGCTGCCTTTAACGACTTTCTTTCCTCATGATATTATTCAGACATAGTGTTCTTTTTACACAACTCTAGGAATTAAATAAAAGCTGTTTGCCCCAAAAGTAAGAGAATTGATAGACTTGTAAAATGTCATTCCCATAAAAGAAGATCTGTAATCACCAGATTATAGGCAGAGCTGGAGTGAAACACATTTGCACTTTTTGCCCACAGTCCCTACCCTTTGGCCTTTTGAAATTGAACCTTATGCAGAGAGGAGCCACAAGATTTATGGAGAGAGACAGGAAGGACGGAAGGGAATTGTGACTGTATCTGAGATGCCAAGTCCCTTAGTGGAGGGGTGTTCTAGGCTCAGTAGGTTTTGTACTACACAGTTTGGGGATTAAAGTCATTAACTTGTTTCTGTGAATGTGTCCATAAATACTTAAATTTATGCCATTTTTATGGAAAATGTTATTCTTGAAGAAGAATGTTGAGAAGATACTTAAGAATCTTACCTGAATTTGGGTTATGAAAGCCTAGTGGTCTCTGACACATCAGTGGATTAATGAATTTTGGCCAGAAAAATGCCAATTTAACAGTTTATTTCATGGATTATAGTGCCATAAGTGTTCAGTGGGTTTCCCCCAGCTTTTTTCTTCACCAAAAGGCTCTCTAGTGTCCTCAGGTCCAGATCTTATATAAAAATTAGGCATTCACTGAAGGTGAACTGCGTGATTCATGCCACCGTGGTAGATTGGCCTGAAGCAACTTGGTTGCTTACCAGGTGTGCAAGTGTTTATAATAGGTTGTAGATCCTGTTAACTGATGGTAAATTAATTTGCTTTAGGATAATACTGGATCTAACAGTCTTGAAAACCCTTGTCTTCCTTAATCACTTCTTGGCCACGTAAGTGTATCCTTATTCATTTTAATTAATAGGTGGAGTAAAGACTCCTGGGTTGTAATCTTTGATTGAATCAGATTCAGATTACAATTTTCAGTTGTTTCAGTTCTTAGTTACCCAGATGTGTAAAAAAGCATGGATGTGTCTGAGCTAGGGTAAATTTGTTTTTAAAATAGAGCCTATCTATGTGCTAGTTGCAGACAGGTTTGGGTTTTGCTGATTTTACAGTGGTATCCCTTTCCTGTGTCTAAAATTCTTCGTAAAGCCATCATTTTTTACTTCAAGAACATTTTCTGTCTTTCAAATACAAATATGATTTGTATAGATCAAACATGGGAAGTACTTTTCATGAAACAAAACTTTGAATTTCTGCACCGATTTCTAAATTGTAGATCATCTATAAAATTGTAAAAATAATTGTGAATGCATTGCTTCCCATTGGCCCCCCCAGCAAGGAGTGCACAGTGAGAAATGCTGTTTCTATGGCAACTGTCTGCTGGTATAGAGTGCTGCAGACTGAAATCCTTCTTAGCAGGCAGAGTCGATGCTTTAAGAAGCATTTTGAATCCAATTTCAGACACTTCTATATTTAGGCATTTAAAAATTATGTTTACATTTTAGTTTATGTTAATTGCACTTTAGCTGTGAGTAAACCACCCCTGGAATGCTCCTGGGTCATACGCAGGCTAGCTCTTGGACACAAAGAAGTTTGGGAAAAGGCTGCATTGTTTCCTACAGGCAAGTTTGTCTTAAATGCAGCAATTTCTCAGTAAGGTACAAGATTTGAAGGGATTCTTGGTTCGTTAAGTACAATCTCCTGATACTGCAGGAATCCCTGGCCTGTAATTGTGTGTCCAGATCAGGCTTATGAGGTCTGAAAATGTCTTGGCTGGTTTCTTTTAAGGAGACACCCCAGGTACAGAACTATGTAATTTTTTTTTTCAACTAGGTGGGGGTTTACTATTTTAAATTTAGTTTGTACTCAAACATAGGAGAAATTAGGGTTTCATTGTAATAGATTTGTGTTCCCCAAGATAAAAAATTTGCTGTCCTCCTTCTGTAAATATGGGACTGATGCTTGCTTTGCTTCATCCTGCACTGTCTCTATTAACTATTGTTTCTGGGAGAAAGAAGATGTTGCATGCTCATTGTTTTGTATTAGAAATAATAATTTGCAATCTTTAACACCTTGCTTTTTCAAAGTAGTTTGGTTTTTTTTTTAACATAGCAGAAAGTATGTATAATAAATTGATTAGTAAATATCAATTATCAGTAATTAAGGCTCCTTTCAGTCAATGTAAGTATGATTAAGTTGAAGTCTTCATCAGAAAGCAGTTTTTTGCCTGAAAACCTTAAATGGGGTCTATTTTACTACTCACAAATAGTATTGTTTATTCTAGATATTTTCTTAAATAGTATATGCTAGTGTAACTTTGCACTATATAAAATAAAGCATTGTGGGTCTTATTCTTGCTGATGCATTTTACATTCTATGCTTAAAAACATTTGGAGTCCCTTTCTCCTCCACACTTTACCAAAGAAGATCTGACCAGGTGTGGTATTATGCAGTGGTCCTGCATATGGAACACACTAATATAGCAGAATTCTTCACAGGGAACAAACAAAATAATGTGAAAAATTGATGTTTACCAGGGACTAGCATTGTTGTGATGAGCTCTGGAATTTCCAAGAAGTCCACATTACTTCTCTGGAATGTCTTGCTGTAATTCATTTGAAGGTGGCTAAATAATTGTAGAAAATAAGAACATATCAAATTTTTTAAAGGGGCTAATTTTTTTTTTTTTATGAGCATTAAAATTTCTACAATTAATGCTGTAACAAAGATTTTGTGCTTCAAAACTTAGGCAATGATGACAGTGGGAGAGGAGACCAGATAAGCTGTGAAGTGCTTACATGTTATATTAAACACAGGTTTTCTTCTGTACAGTTAACTGTTACTCTGATGTTCATCTCTTGGTTGTGACCCAGTATAGCGTTGACGTGCATTACTAGTGTTCTTGAGTCTTTGTGAAAGTAAACTTTGAACTGGGGTTTTGTTCAAAAGAAAAGCAGCTAAGCTTCAAGAGACTGCTCCATCTTCCTTCAGAATGGTTTCTGTCTACAGATTTAGGATCATGGGGTTTGGTTGGTTGGTTAGTTGTTTTTTTAATAGTAAATGTAGTTAAGGAAAATCTTTTTGTCTCTACTCAATTTCTTAGCCATCTGCCTGCCGCAGACTAGAATTTGGCTGGTGGGACTTTTAATTACTATAACTTCTATTTGGGGCCCAAAAGAGACACTAGGAATCTGTGGGATTGGTTTTTGTGATGTGGATTTGGGATGCTTTGGGAGAGCTCACCATGACTGCTTGCATGCTTAAGTGTGTTGCTGGATGGCACACCTCCTGTCTCACTCATTGGCTCCTTTTGTTTCTTCCATTATCATTGAACTGTGGTAATATTGCTGTTTCCCTGTTGTTTTGTCTCTGATGAACTAACATCCATCTGATGCCATACCTTTGTCTATTCGCTTTCAGACTTTTTATGTTCTATTCAAATTAGCTTTGTCTTTCTGATATTTTTATTTATATGTTTCAGTATATTTTAGTCTTTAGCAATTGAACTATTGTTCTGAAGTATTAGTTGTGATGTATTTAGCAAGAGCTCGATTAGCAGTATTTAATTTGTATTCAGTCTTTCTACACAATTGCTTTCTAACCTTCAAAACTGTCTGTATTAAAAAAAAACCAAACCAAAACCCCCAAACTTACCTATTCCAGGCATTGCTGTTCTCCCAGAACTCATAAACAATGAAGCGGCAGTCACTTGCAAGCTTCTGTACAGAAACACTAAGAATTGTGGATAGAAATAATCTAATAAAACACGACAAAGTTATTGGAAATACACATCTTATTCCAAACTGCTTATGAGTAGGACCAAATGCAGTGATTTTTGAGGGAAAAAAAAACCCCAAACATCCCACCAAAACAAAAAAACAACCCAAATAATAAATTTAACAAATAAGTGACCACATACTGCAAATTATGTGAGCTTTTTTAAAAAAAAAACTCTTGGAGTATTTTCATGGCTTTTCACATATTAATATTTAATATTACTACACTTATGATGTACTCTTATTTATGAAACTCATTTTTCATATTGCTCCAATAGTATAAAGAAATTTCTGAAGAAATGCTAATCATTAATACAGAAAATTAATCAGGCAACTGTGGTTCAGAGAAAAGCAGCAAATACAGTATACTGCACATAGAGAACAGTTAAGTTTACAGAATAACTCATGCTGTTTCCTTGAAAAATTACACTGTGAGAAGTCACTCTTTTGTATGAGAGATGCATCAAAGTGGCATAGAGTTTAGGTTTGCTTTGAAAGCAAATATATAAGGGAGTATACAGCCAGGTAGGCTGATCTCTGCTGCAGATACACTTTTTAAATAATACTTTTGGGTACTATTTGGTTGTTCTTAACTATTCAGCTAACAATTTATCATGGGTGAAAAATGACCCACAGAATATCTGCTGATCCTCTACACAGAATCATCCTGCTTACTATCCTGAGTATAAAAGATTTACAGCATATAGGGTACTTATGCCTTTGGGTACTCAAATTGGTGTTTAGATGTATAGCACAAAAAGTATATATACGTATTTCTCCAAGTGCCCAAGTATGAGATTACTGATCTTACTACTGATGTGCTTGAAAACTGGTCTCAGATTATATTTCATGCTGTAATAAGCAATAAGTTATATGATTTAATGGTTTCCTCCTGTTATATGTGAAAGTACATTGTAAAATAGCAAAAACATCAAGAACTGTTGGAAAAAAACAAGTCAATGTTATAAACGGCTACAGTAAAAACCGACCGCTAGGTGGCATTACAGACTTACCAAACGCCTATAAACTTGGGAAAGAAAGGAGCTTTTTCCCATCAACTTTTTGTTAAGTTGCATTCTGAACTCACGTAAGCTCTCTCCCCTGACAAGTTTGCATTCACTACAGTGTTTTACTGGATGTTCGTTTTGGAAGGGGGCTAGGGGGCTTCTCTTCTTTGTTTTTTCCAGCTCTTGGCCCACAGGAGAATTTTATTTTCCTCATCAGTCTGCCTTTACAAGTGAACCACTGCAAAAAGGACACTCTGTTCTTCTTCCAGCTTAACTTGCTTTTTCTGGTCTGTGTGAACACTGCTGATACAATCCTAAGTGTGACGATGTCATAGCAACAAGGTGCATAAATTAGGGATGTGATAGGCAGCCTCTGAAGCCTTTGAATATATAGGAAGATCCTGTATTGTGTCCACACTATAAAAATATTTATTTCATAATGGTCTGTAGTGTATATGGTAGTAGCTTTCTCCAGGATGTTAAAGTAAGAAATTCAGTACAGTGGTGAGTCACTAAAATTTATTCTTAACCCAGTTCTAATGTTTTATTTAAATCTAAAAGGAGCAAAGCAGAAATACACTATTTCATTGAAAATTTTGCTTTTTAATTTTTCCCATTCTTTATTATGAATGAAAATTTTAAAATGACAGCCTAAAGGGAAGGTTCTGAAACCTTCCAAGCAGAGGACTGGCAAACAAGTTGATAAGTTGTTCACTTGCCAGGTAAGCACAAATGAAGGATGGCAAATGAGTTTTCCAAGAAAGAGTGTCAGCCTAGGAGCTTTCAGAAGCCATGAATTGATGACCTGCAAAGCTGAGAAGCCTTAAAAGGTTGTTTAGCATCTTTGGGATAGCCTGTATTATCATTTTGTGATACTACTTAAAGTCTGCACATATACTCAATGTTTCTTTCTAGTTTTAGTTGTCTTTGAAAAGCTCTTAGACACATGCATCACCAACCAGGAAAGAAGATGTCACAGGTTCTCCCTTAATAAATAATCCAACTCCACTTAAAAGTACGTCAAGAAATTAGACTACATTCTGTCCTTCAGCCCAAGGACAATAACATTACTTACTGCAAGCAGCCACCCTGAGTAGAAGCAGATTCCACGTACTGCTTCAGAGCAAGCCGGAATTCCTCAATTTCTTCTTCTATCACAGACATTTGACGTTGAACAATCATTATGTGCTGATACAAAAACATGACAATATTACTGCCATATCATCCTCTGAAGTCCTTGTACTTTAAACTCAGAAAAGTCTATCATAAAACAATAAAAACCACAATCATCAAAGAAAACCCACAAAAGTTCCTTTGAAGTTTGCAGTCCCTGTTTTAGTGCTCTGGAGTTGAGAAGTAGAAATGCTCGAGTGTGGGCTTTTATGTCTAGGCAGGCTGAGGCACAGAATGGAAACACCCAAAACAAGCATCCACCTTAGAGAAGGTGAGAGTTGTCTGAATCGTGGATGAGAGAGTCTCTTCAGAAGAGTGCAAAGTAAATGTTGACCTTTGAAATGTTCAGTAATAAAGTCAGCATGTTTCCTTGGATGAATCTGTATGCCAGCAGGTATGAGGTTTGACATAAGAGCATATTGCCACAACCTGCATTGGATGCATTGTGACTTTCACTGAGGTGCTCTCATACTCTTTTACATTATAGAGCTCTGACTCACACCTGAATGAGATGGCTAAGGTAGCCCATGTTAAATCATGAATCGAGAAGGTTTTTTTCTTCCACCTTTCTGCAAAAAATGAATAGTCTTTATAAGCAGGACTATGGAAACAGTCAGTAGTACAGAAGACCTATTTATCCTGAATTATTATGATTATCGTTTAGCTATTTTGTTTACATATTGATTCATCTATTGAAGCTTGTCAACTTTACTAATGCAATATTTAAAGAAACATCATGTGCTCCTTGATTAATACAACTTAATCTTTTTACAGGTTTTTGACTCATCTCTGCCCTGATTATTGATACTGCTATCTCATGGATTATCCCTCCACCATAAGCAGCCTGTCTAGCAATATTGTGTAATCTCATTTAAAAAAAGAAAAAAATCTAAAGCAACTCCTGTAATGAAATAAGGAATTTGATGGATCATCTGTTTTGGTTATTTTTTCATGTGTATTTGATTTTCATTTTATTAGGTTCAAAGCCCTGAATTTAGGAATGCTAGTGTATTTGAAAAATTGAGCTCAATCTTGGGACATAAACTTCCTTAACAGTAAGTTTATTTCTGGTCATGATTTTGGTTTTGTAAGTTGTAATATTGATTATTGCTTAGCACTGGATGCTGTCCCATCTTTCCTGATAGGGTTTCCTATAGCAGTTTTGGGAGGGAGGGAGAAAGGCTGTACAACTGTGATTGAAAGCATGCATGCAGCATTAGCTGATTGGGAGCAGAGAAGCTAGCACCCCATAAACACTGCTGCCAAATTTGGTAAATCTTATTAATGACACCTTTTCCTCCTTATGAGAGTTGAGGTTTTGGCTCACTGTATCCTTTGAAAACAATGCAAAAATTAATATAAAAGTTTTGCCCACATATTCTAAGTTTTGTTTTGTTGCCTCTTGCACAATGTATTCTGCTAACTAAAATGGATTCTTATCACTGGAAAAAGTGAGGCTGGTGATTTTTTAAAATTATTTTTTAACAAAAGAGATCAGGTGAGATTGTTGTCTCAATACCTGGCATTCAAAATCAAATCATTATCTTGTCAAAATCATTATCTTGAAAAGCACTTACAGATCTTGCATTTTCTTCCAAAACTTCCTCTTCAAATGGCTCAAGCTTTAGGTCCTTTGAGGCAGTTGAAAAGAAAATAGAAATATAAGAGGCAATACTACAGCTGTATTCTGCTCTTACCTTTGTAACAAACTATTCCAATAGCTAGATTCTGTTTTATTTCCAGAAGTTATAATCAAATCCCTTCTTTATTAGCTGTAAGTCAAACACAAGTAATGTCTGCAAAATCTTGCACACTTCAGTGGTTAAATCCATCCCAGGCTGTTCTGTAAAGTTTTATTTATAATGTAATGCTGAGCAGGTGATTTTTCATTTGTAACAAATCCACTTGTTCACAAATGTATGTTGGACTTAACTGAGAAAAGACAGATATCTTCTCAAATTGTCACGTGGACTATGGAGATGAGCAAGAATAGTAATTTGAAATGAACTATCAGCTACTATTATGCAATCAAGACTGTACACAGAAGAAACTTCTCTACGGGGCATTTACGGTTGCAAGGGAGTGTTTTCTAGCGTTGAAAAAGATGTGCATGATGCTCCAAGTGAGGTTTCTGAACTGCTGCACTTCCTTCTGAGGACAGGCTGGGCAGCAGCAAACAGATGCATCTGTGAAGCAGCAGTATGCTTGCTTGGCACACAAACTGGTTGCGCACTTCATGAATCAGTGATTCATGCAAACACCATCTAGTAATGCACACAAAATTATAATTTACATGCTAGGCACATGTAGTACCTTCTAACCCATTGCCATATGGATATTCTGAAAAATATCCATATGCTTGAAAAAAAGCAGATCAATCTGCAATAAGCAGCTGGAGCAAAATGTGCTCTTTGTTAGTAGTGCTTCGCTTCTTATTGCACACAGTTCTTGTGTAACAAAGATAAAAATTTTCTTCTGCTTCCAGCTGGGTGAGGACTGATTAACTTCAGGTAGCAGGTGTTTTGCCAGTACAAATACTGTACTCGCTGAAAAGCCAACAAGAGGTGTGCAGGTAGAATTCGAATGAACAGGGGACTTCCACCAGCAGCCGGTGGCAGAGCAAGGCAGGAGTAATGGAGCAGTCGCACAGTAACTGCTGTGTCGCTGTACCTCTCCTGCAGAATGTGCATAGAAAGGCATGGAATGTGTGTGTGGGGGGGAAAACACCCAGCTTTAATAGCTCATTTGTCAGTGCAGACACTTCAGATAAAAGCCCTGAAGGAAAATGCATATTCCTGTGGTTCTTCTGTATTTTCAGTGCAAAATTTTTCCAGGGAAATGTTTGGAAAAAGAGAGGAAAGGAATGACTCGAGTTGTACTGCAGACTTTCTCTTAAGGTATCAAGAAAAAAAAATATCTGTTTTCCCAGCATGTATAACTTCAGAACTTGAGAAGGAAAAGGACTTAGAAAACTGATTGATGGTTAAATTTACCTTTGACAGAAGACAGCAGAAGAGTTAGACAGACAATACGAAATCAACCAGTCACCAGGTGGTTCTCCAGTAGGAACCACTGGTGGATAACTTGCTGACCCCCGAAGAAGTGAAAAATAATCTACAGCAGTTCTTCAGTAACGTTATGTCATTAGGCAGGGCATGACTTACACAGATGGGGTAAGCCTACACAGACAGCTTGCTGTGACCTCGGAGCATGCGAGCACTGGCGCACAGTCTTCATCTGTGCAGAAAGAGCACTCGGGCATCGGCTGACTCGACACTGAGCATGAGTGAAGTAGCCCGATGTGGAGATGAGAGCTCCTGCCAGACACTTACCACGCAGCCTGGAAATGAAAACTGACCCCAGACTGCAGCTCAGAGCTGGGGTTTTACAATGCCTCCTCAGTCCTACCTCACCTCAGCTGAGAAGTGGTAGCTTCTGAAATTGCCTCTTAGTGTGATTGTGTGATCCTTCTAATCTGCTTCAGGGCAAAGACAAAAAGAAGAGCCTTAGTACCTGCTGACAGACAGCTGAAATGTAACACTTGGTTAGATGTGATGGGTTAACCTGGAACATACCTGAGCGAAAAATGATTCTGAGAGATGGCATGTGTAACGGCCTTATCCCAGGTGGGAAGTGATGACCAGCCATTTGGTGTTTTTAATTCATTTCAGTCTGAAGTCAGTGGTCATTTAAGCAGTCAGCTTTGCTTTTTCTTGACTTTGCCTTTTCTTGACTTTGCTTTGGAATAGAGTAGATGGGCTCACAGTGTCCCACTGCTAAGAAGCACCAACATCCTTTTTGCATTACATGCCTGTCCCAGTCATGACCCAGGCACTGTTTTGCTAGATGCTGTTTAAACATGGATCACAGGGAGTTCCTCCTACTGTAATGAAGTGTAAATTCTAATAAAATGAGGACAAGGGAATTTCTTTAATGCAAAAGAATTCTCGTAGTCTTTTTAATATGCCTTAGGATATCTTATAGGACCAGAGGTTTTATGATTTCTAAGTTGCATGCCTAATAAATTGGGTTCACAGAGGCCAGAAAGAAGTGCCAAGAGAAGAACAATCAAAGGAGGTGGTCCTGGAGAAGCTGCAGAAATGTGAACTCACGTCTCACAGTTAGACCTGGCCGTGAGATACAAAGTCAAGCAGATGCAAAGTTAGGCAAAGGTGGATGTAGTCTGTCTATTGGCAAAAGTAGGTTTGTCTAATTGCTATGTTTTATTAATCAGTAATCAAGTTTTATATTGATAAGGGGATAATTATGGAAGTTCTATGCCCTGCCACTGTTTTCCTTTGGCACTGAGCTGCTTTTCAAAGAGAGGTTTTCTGTCATTTACCTGTAGCAGATTTGATCATTTTGTAACATCTTTGTTCTAAGTTTATTTACTACAAAATGGTTGGCTGTTTTCTGTAACATTTGCATTGCATTATTGCTCTATGGCAGATTTCTTTTTTCAGTAACATTCTTTTAAATGTTAAGTTTCCTTAAACTCCTTTTGGCATCAGTCCGTGTTGGGAGGTTACTGTGGCAGGGCGGTCAGCTGCTGCTGCTTCCAAAGCAGAGCTGGGAGTAAAGCTGGACCAAAGGTGAGAGTTACATTTCATGCAGACTTTGACATTTCAAAATACAATTTTTATCTATTCAGAAAAAAGTTGCTACTAAAATGTCATTAATGTGGCAACTGCTGTGTAATTGCTTTTCTCATGCAGAAATGACATCTGGGAGGAAGCTGTTGTGTGCAGGAATATGAGTATGCCCTGGCCAGAGGCTTAATGAACTGAGCAGACCATGAGGAGCTGCTGAGCATAGCAAGGAGCAGAGTGAGAAGCTGACAGAAGTCACAGACAGCGCCACGAGGAATGGCTGAATTTCACAGCTTGTTAAGAAGAAGCGATGCGAGAGACTGTTAGACCTCAGGGATAACCAAAGGGAGTACTGGGCTTCTTTTGGGGAGCAGAGTCTTGCAAGGCCAGCAGTGCTGGGGGTGACTGTATTGGTAATGCAGTTCATCAGTAATAGGCTGAGATAACAGAAATACCACATTTTGGTCCCAAGCTGGGACCAAAGGGGAAATAAGTAGGGGCAGTTTGTTCATTTGGGAGGGAGCAATGGCAGAGAAAGGTCAGTATGCTTGTCTTGCTGAGCCCTGTGCCAGATCACCACCGTTTATTATGTCTTCTTGTTAAATCCCTTACTTAACTATTTTCTGGGTGTATAATTTGCTACTAAACTCAAGTTGGACTAGCAGGTAAGTAGGAGGAGATGCTTGTCTGCCAGACCCAAGGTCTGAGCCAAAGCCTGGCTAAGGGGCATGGGTCCAGCCACAGATACTAGATGGAGTTAAAGCCCATGCTAATGTTCACAGGGGAACGTCCATCCTGATCAGCTGGAAAGAAGGAGCAGGATCAGGCTGTTGCATGTTCATGTTTCTGTGAGCGCTGCCTGTCTGTGGGCACTGGTGAAGGCATCCGTGCTGCTGTGCATGAATCCATGTCTCTTGGAGTACACGCACAGCCTCGCCACTGGTGAGCACTGACCTGCAGCGAGGAGCAGCATCAGCATCATTGCTGGGACTGGAGCAACTCCTGGGTCTGAGAGCACTTCAGCCTAAAACCTTGTCTCTAGTGCACCAGGAGGGAGAAGTTCCCTGGGTCTCAAAATCCACCAAATTCAGCCATGCCCTTAGAACCTATCAGAAATTGTCCATCTGTCCTTCAGTAGGGACACTTTATATAGAGAACAACACAGGAATTTATAACCTTACTTTTTCTTCTGCTCTTCTCCAGAAAGAAAGAAGTCACCACACGCAGACATAAACCAATTTTTAAAACCTAGGGTAGCAATAAATCTGAATGAAAACAAAAGAAATTGACATTTTCTGTGCAGACTGATGTTACTCAGGTTTTTACAAGCCCTGGGAAGCCTTGGTATCGTTGGATTGGACAGGTCATTTTTCAGACTCCCGGAGGGCTCTGCTTTGGCGTGGGAACTTCAGGCAGTCTCAGGGCCCTGGGGGTTGGTGCAGCCCTGGAGCTGGGGCGGCTCCTGTGACTCCCTGGCGGGATGGTGGAATTTGCATTGGCTTTTGGTTGAACTGTACTTACTAGGAAAGTGTTTTAATCTATAAATTTGTATTCTCTGATGGGAAAGGAGGAAACAGAACTTTCTGTCAAGCTTTAGTGGGAAAGTTTGGAGAGGAAGAGAAAAAAATCTGATCCTAAAAGGAGATGCTTATCCCGTGTTCCCCAAAACAAGCATAACTAAATAGAATAACATTCTCCAGTCATAGAGTAATGTGACTTTTCAGAGCTTTATGAAAAGTTGGATCAGTGGTGATGGGAAGGGGAAAGGGGAGTGTGGGAAAACCGTGTCATGCTCTCATGAAATAAGAAAGAAGGTGGAAGGAAAATGTAGGCATCTAATGAGTGTTAGCTCTCTTAGGTGATGTTGGAAGTTTCACTTATTATTTATTGGAAGGACTGCAACTGGGACATTGAAAGCATTTGTGGTTTAAGGATTGATTTACTGAAAGAGAGAGAACAAACAAGTGAAAAGAAAGGCACACCTTCTTTTCCAGCCTGTCAATCAGCTTTTGGAGTCTGTTTATCTGGGTCATCCACTGGCTGTCTTCCTCAGTCCAACCTTTGGAAAATATAAATAAGTAACATTTATAAAATGTTACTAAACGCTGGAACATAGTGTATTCATTTATTTTATAAAAAAAGTTTATCTTAGCTTGCAACTTATTTTGCTTCTCGAAGATTGTGCTGCAACTAGTTCAACGTTCATTTAGGTGTAACTAAACTAAAGCATGATTTTGACTATATGAATTATTTTATTTCTTTTTAAGATACAATACAAATCCAATACAGAATGAAAACTACATTCTAGATTAATGCCAGTGCTTTTGAAATCATGCTGATTCCTGAAGAAAGGAATGCTCTCCTCTGAAAATGGAACCAGCTCATAACCTGAACACCTGCTCAAAATGCAAAATCATCTTGGGTGGGGGGTGTGTGTGTGTGTGTGTGTGTTAAAGCTTTCTCTGTGTTAATATTTTACTTAGTTTGCCATTTCTTCTTTATGTGAAAGTTTCTGTAAGAGTAAGAGTCAGATTTTTGGCTGCATAGCCAGCCTGTCTTTGGGATTCCTTTCAAATACATCCCATTGGAGGGACCATGTGCTGTGTCTTGTCTGCAGTTTCTCTTCCCCCTGAGAGCAATGACGAAGGTGAAAGAAAGACAGCCAAGACTGTCTTAAATATTCTGGCATGGCCAGTACAGCTCAGGTGATAGGATCTTACTTCCTCCTGCAGAGAGACAGCAGACCTGCTGTAGGGCCCTGACTGCAAGGACATTGCTGTGGTCAGCCTGTTGATGTTCTTAGGGTCCTGACACAGTGCTTCCAGCAGTATTCCAGGATTATTTGAGGTTAAGGGTGTATATGTTCCTTCCCAATTAAAAAAATACATTCTTATGAACAGCAGAAAAGAATTAACTGGGTGTACATGTACAGCTAAATGATCTACATTTCTGGCGTGGCATGTTGAGGAATCCTGATATTGAGGGATTCCTGAAGGAGCCTCCTAACATAATTGTAGAATGTCTCATATGCATTGAGAATAAGGAGCTTTCTCTCCATTCAGAAAAGGTTCATTTAGCTGTACCAGCTTTTTTTGTACTCGCACTTGGGGGTTTTCAGCTTTGTTGCAGTCATCTGCAGTATGCTGTCCTGGGGGGTTTCATGTGTTCATCCACTAATTACGGATATAATCTTGCAGTGGACTCTATAGCTGATTTAATAACATTAACTGGACGTCCCTTGCAGCTAATGATCCTTCTTTACCTTTCCAGCTAAACAGCATTCCTAGGTGCTTGATGAATTGCAGCAATATGATTATTACAAGTGAGCCTTCCTACACTAGATTTTTCTAGAATGAGATTTTGGTTTTCAGATGTGTAATTTGTGCCTGTGGTGACTGCAAATTTTGACCAACTCAAGACTGATTATGTTTCATTGTAATAACTTTCCTATGTTTATTTTTCTCCCAAGTCATGGAATTCAGCAGGAGAGGAAAGACTAAAGACACTGGGACACTGGATATTAACTGTGTCTTGTCTTTCTGTATGGATAGGACATACCCCTTTCAAAAGACTTCCTAGTTCTCCATTCTGCAGTCATACTTGTGACTGTATAATGACCAGATGTCATATAGCAAAGGTGAAGCTAGAAAATGTTGTTCTGCAAAGGCACAAGCATCTCAGAGCCTCTCTAAAGTCTCTGGAAAATTTTGCTTTGCTAAAGTCTCAAGAAAATTGTCTATGAGATGAAAAGGATAATACTCAAGGAAACAGATATATGCATTATGAGAGCAGTTCCTGGTATCACCCACAGTGTGAATGTGTACATAAGTGATTGCTCTAAGGAGAGAGGAAGGTTGTTTATCAAAAACTGAAGATCTTTCAACACATGCTTTTGATGTGTGCATTCATTAACCTGCTCACTTTCCAGCTGAGAGTTCTAATGGCACTTGGACTATGTTTTGACTAAAGAAAGAAATAGAATCATAGAATGGTTTGGGTTGGAAGGGACCTTAAAGATCATCTAGTTCCAACCTAGGTGATCCTACTGCTGGGGACATACCACAGGTGTGATATGTAGAGGAGGTAAAGTGTGGCTTTACCAGAACAAGTACAAAGGGTAAAGAAATGCTGGCATGAGTGTTGAGTGCATAGACACATCTACAGTGTTACTGTGCTTGTGGGCAGCAGGCAGTAAGAAGGAAGACCAAGTGCCAAGACAAACACAGATCTTGGAAAGTAAACAGCTGTTAGACAGCTATTAGAACAGCAGAAAGACGTTAGCTCTTTAAAATTACATTAATACAGTAAGTGGATTTGGTGCAGCTTGGATATGTTTGGGTTCCTTCTGAACTCTGTGAATTAGGAGTGCAGCAACAAGGCTATGTGACCTTCCTTGTTATGAACACCAGCAACTCACAGCAAGGGACCAAACATCATCCTGCATCATTGTGCTGAATGAACAGCATCATTCGTTGAGTGGCAGAAGGGCCTTCAAAAGAGGGTTAAAAAGGAAGAGGTAATCACGTGGCTGCAAGCAGTGAGATCTGCATGACTGGTCAAGAAGTGCGCTTGACCCGTTACATACTGTGGTGTTTCAGTCATCTACATGCCTTGATACTGAGAGACGTCACTAAGCCTGGAGATGCCTTCACTGCAGCCTCGTGCTTAATGTCACTGCTTCCAAAGAATCCCATTTACCAAAGTACCCTGTCCTGTTTTCCAAAGCAGAAATGCTGTTTCAGATTTTTTCATATCATCTTAAATGAAATCTTTTTTCCCCTTCAGGTTTTGTATTTTCCATTTCCATTTCCGTTTCTTATTTGTTCCCTTCAGCTGTGATGTAAGTCATGATAGAGAGCTTGGTTGTGTATAAGTTATAGCCTTCACCTTTTCATTCTTATCTGCAGGCTACAAATATTACCTAAGAAATGTTGAATCAACCCACAGCCCCAAAACAATATCACAGTTTGGCCCATAGTTATGTATTTATTTTTTATCAGCTCAGATCTATGGGTACATATTTATTTTCCTTACAGTTTGAGCTAATACATTCTATAGTAAATTGAAGATTGGTTTCTGTAAGTAAAGTATCTAAGTTAGTTACCATGTCTAAATTAAATTTTTGAGGAATATACATGTATATTTTTCTGTGTATGTGTGTGTGTGTGTGTATGCATGTGTTTTAAATATCTTTAAAATGTGAAACACCATACCTGTGGTAAAATGAGGGCTATTTAACGACAGGCTGTTGTTCCTCTGAAGCCTTCGAGCTGAGCGCTTTCCTGGCCATTGAATTGAGAGCACTTCTGGTTTTGTTGGGCCTTGTCTGCACAGAAACACAGGAGACTTCATAAGGTAAAACTTGTGGGAGAGCTCTCCTCTCTCTGTTCTCACAACATGTGCTTTCATGTTCCCTTTTGAATTAAAAAAGGAGAAATACCTATTGAGACCTCTGAATTATTTTCCAGATTTTCACTATTACTAATTAGTTGTGTTTAGGTTGCTAATCATTAGAGAAGTAAAAAAAAAAAAGGAGGGTTAAGCTGGCATAAACCTGTCTTTTAGGTAGAGAAACCTCAGGGTCAGTGTCTGTCTGTGATGTGGTTCTGACCTAAGGAACGATTCACACTGTTTCTTCATTCACGGGACTTTCATAGCATCTCTGCAGAGGAACTGGGGCCACAAGAACAGCTAAAAGTGAAATGTGAACTTTAAACATTGACCCCTTCAGCTTAAAGATTGAAAAGATAAACAGCAATGTGTATGTGTTAATAAGGAAGGAAAAACGATGAGAATTTGCTAATACTGGATGGAAGACAGACACATTTCTGGGACTAATATTGTAACATAGCAGTTACAGAAATTACTTATGTTTGTACTACAATGACAGAGTCATTGAAGCTTGAGAGTTTGTGTGGGGACTGAAGGCTGTCTCTATGTGGTTCTTCATCATCATCCAGCTGGAAAGCAATGAAGGACCAGGACTGTGGTTAGTTTTGAACAGTTAGTTGGATGAGAGGTTGCAACGAGTATTAGACGGTAGTCTAAACAGTTCAGTAAATAATTCCCAGGTCACTGCTTTGGAAAGCTCTCTGAAGACCTTTGGAAAGGTCTCCTGAAGCACAGAATGAAGGCTCACCAAAAGCTCACACACTAAGGAGATGTTTTAGGATGGTATTTTCTGCAGCATAAAATCCCCCCACAGTAAGCCAAATTATGGCAGTTCCTGAGTGTAAGCACTCTTAAATTAGTTTAGGAGTGTCTTAATGGGATTTTGATTCAGACAATTTACCCTTCAGTTAAGTTAAACATAATTGAAGATGATTTTACACAGGGACTGAGGCATCTCCAAAATAGCTGTAGTTGAAGTGCTGAGTTTGCCTGGCTTTTCCATTGCTACCTCAGCAAATGGGGGAGATGTTATTTGGCTTGACAATATCACACCTCTTTTTCATTTTCTTTGCTATAAAACAAATTCACCATCCAAGAGGATATTTCTGAACTACCGTACTGATAAAACTGGAGAAAGAAGTCTCCACAACGGCCTACCAGACAGTCAATGCAGATGAGAAAGCTGGCAGCAAAAGGGATGGTCATATTACCCAATTCAACACATCCAAGTGAGTAGTTTGAATTACTCAGATGGTCTTTCTAGACTGTATTTCTAGAGAGGGGGTCCTAAAAGGCAAGTCAGAGAAGAAGTCAATGATTACTCCAGAGGATGCCAGAGCACCTTAAGTTAGGTGCCAGCTCTGAACTGCCCATTTTAGACTTCTTTCTCTCCCATCAGTTGTGTGAGGAACCTGGAAAGACGTATGCATGAATGCAGGGGTATATATATTGTGCATGCTCGGCACACCCTCAGCCTTTCAAAACCTGCTTGATTCCTGCAGTCAAACTGCTGGCACAAAACCCCAGTGTATTATTCATGTACTTGAGAAATCTCAAAACCAACAGCAAAACAAACAAGAAAATGACATTTCCAAAAGAAAGAATGAAAAAGCAATGCATTTTAAAATGTATGAAGTGTTGAGATCTTGTCAATGAAACACAACGGCTTGTATTTTGCTTTCCCTATCATCTTTAACACTAGCATACTGAGGAAAACAGATCCATAAAACCAAGTACCTTTTAAAAAATGTTTTGATCCTTGATCCTACAAACCCTCATATATGAGGTCATGGTATTAAATTCAGCTAAACCCCTTGGATGGTTATAGGTTACCCAGGTGACTGAGAGTTTACAGAGTTAGATGTTGACCGGTACTATGGCCCTTTATTCTAGGAAGAAGCTGTAACAAGCAAGAGCCTTGCTATTTCTCCTTTTAACATTAGGATAGTTGTGCAACCAGGAATAAAAAAAAAAATAAATCATAAAGCTGGAAGAAACAAACAAGGAGGCAGTCAATGGTCTTGGCAATTTCAGACCTTGTCATACTGCAGTGGTCTGGTTTCTGCATTTGATATGAAATAGTCAATGGATTTAGAAAGAAGTTGAAGGAGAAGAGCCTAGAATGTAGCAAAATGGTCCTACGTACAACCCACCACAGGATCAGATCGGAACCTAATTGTATTCAATTACAGGAAAATTCCTATTAGTGAGTTCCTGTGTGGAATAAAAAGTTTATCTGTTTTTCTCCTGTTACTCCCTACATCAAGTTGCTGGGTGAAATGTAAATGTCTTGGAGGTTCATGGTGACCCCGCTCCTCACCCCCTTCAGTGCAGCTGGGCAGAAGGTTTGCTCACCTCTCCTGCCGGGTCTGCTCCTCCGTGGTTTCCATGGCACACTCCAGGCTGCTCTGGAGGGACTGAAGCTGGTTCAGTGTTTCCTTCAACAGAAAGCGAGTCACAAACTGCTCCAAATTAGAAGCTTCCTGATAGTCCTAAAAATGGCATTAAAAAAAAAAAGAGGAAAGGATTTGCCTACTATGTTAGAAATATGTGAGGAAAGATTCAGACTTAATTCAGAAAGGAAGCAGCTTGGGTGTTTTGGTGCTTATACATGCAAACCACATAAGCAACCTATAAGTTTCTGGACAAAAAGACCTCTGGATTTCCAGGTGTAGATACTGATCCCACCCAAGCTGAGAGAGGTCCAGGTACACAGTTGTACAACATAGCTTCTAGTTAAAAAAAACTTTTCCTTGCATTTCTTAACTCCAGTTGATGGCAGTACAAAATTACTTCTTAAGTATGGAAAAGCCAAGATATGATTGACAACTGTAGCAGTGAATTTAACGTTTTTATTCAGATACACTCTTGTGAAAAGATGTTTATCTTGCCCACTGGCCTGTCTCTAACAACGATTATGGGAACAGTCTTTGATCAGGGCACGTGCTTAGCGACACTGCCCTGGAAAACTCCACCTGCACTTTGGCTGAAGGACTGCCTGTGCCAGAGATAGTACCTTTTGAATTTAACAGTCTTTGACTCATTTTTGTTCCTTTAATTTGTTTCATTATTTTTGAAACCATATATCTATATATTTCATAATTACATGAAATGCAGCTAAGTGTTGATTTGGAGCTTGGCTATTTGAAAAGTTTGCACCTATATTTAGTGGCCTCTAATGTTTCTTTGTGTAACTACGTTTCCAATATATTTTATGTATTTAAAAATATTTATGCCTATTTTGCATAGGTAATTTCAGAAATAAATTCTTACGCCTGCTCTCTCCCTTGCACGATGAATCACACTTCCATGAATGGGGTCAACTTTAACGTTTCCAGCAAGCCCAGATCTGCAAAACTCAGTTCTGCAAACAGTGATACGCAGGTGAGTGCTGTGTGAGGAGGTGACCTATGCAATAATATAAACATCCCCTTTGTTGTTTTCTTCTTAATAAATGTAATCAAGAGGATAAAGCAGCCCCCTAGAGCCTCTGCTTAATGAGTAGAGCTCCCATCAGGTGCGGAGAAGGAAAATGGACTTCCATCTCCTAAACTCAGAGAAAATTTTTTGGCTCCTACTCTGATGAAAGTATACTGATACTCATTTTTTATATGCCCTAAGTCTGTTTATCTGTGAAAAAAATCCATTCAGCTGATCTTGAAAGCTTTTGGGCACAATTCCATCTAAAATGGTTTCATAAAATATGAGGAACATTGAATGAAAGATTTCTCTAGTCACCACGTCTGAAGATATGATGGTCTGTTATCTCCAAGCTTTAAAGAAAACTTCTCATTTAAATGGTGTTGCCTCCTACCCTAGCTGAGAACCCATTTGAATATTTTTGGCAATGCATAGGAGGTTTTTTAAAGCTGTTTCTTGTTCTTCCCAATGTGAATTACAGCTGAAATGCCTTTTTGACGTTTAGACTTCTCTTTTCATGTATGCGTTTGCAATCAGAACATAAATATGAGATGTTTTGAAATTTAGATGTAAAATAAAAGATTATAAGATAATAGCTTTAAAAGCTTTGCTCTTAAATGAGAGCAATCTATTCACAAAATGTTGTTAGTTCTTGTTGGAAGACTTCTGCTACAGAAATGTCGGATGTTAAACCACCTGTGAATCATCAGTTAGTTATGTAGCCAGGAGCTTCGTGGTCTTCTATATTTACCTCTTCCATCTTCAGAGTAGTGAGCCAATCTCCAAAAAATAATTTCTTATTTATAAATTTTTAAAATAGATACTAATGAGAGATTGTTTGTCTACCTTTTGAGTGAATACCTGAGACTCACACCAGTTCTGTAAATAACATTTATGGCAGCCTTTATGGTTACTACATCTTATTATACAATAGGAAAGCTGATTTCTTCCTTCTTCTAAATTGTCTCCATTGTAACTGATTTAAAACTTTGGTGGAGCTGACAGAGATCATTTAATTTCCAACAATTTTGATTCTCTGTGGCATGTTAGAACAACATGCGTGAATCTGCATAGCATGGACAGCTAAACAAAATCCTGCAGTAGAAATCCAAGTTATTTTTTGATTTTTCAGCTTTCACCAGTGCACTTGGAAATAAGTGAACAAAACATGACAGAAATGATGGTTTCTTGTAAGTTTTTAAATACCAAAGTAATCTCACAAGAGGAGGATAATCAAAGTGGACATCCAAAAAGTAAACACTACAGATAGCTCCATATAGCTTCCTGCTCATAGTCACGATAAATCTGATACTGGGATGCTGAATTACAACTTAAAACATGCATCAATACTGTTTCACTTTGCAACTGTTCAGGTGGGCCCTTGCTGACGGGCGAATGGTGTAAACATTGGCTGTGTAATACTTGCCACTGCCTGAGGCTGTCTGCTTTTTGCCTCCTTCAGAAATGCTTTCCTGCATCTGAAAGTTATTAAGGTGTTTTTTTTTTTTTTTATCAGAACTGCTCTAGGTTTGTGCATTGCACCAGGATTTAGTCTTTTTTCTTCCTGTTCTGTTGTCCCATAAGTTCTGTATTTAAAGGCTTCCCTATGGAAAAGGTCCTTGTGATCTTTAAATATGGCTTAGAGTTCCCTTATCAGGTACACAGAGCTTTTTTGTAAAGATGGGCTAGGCAGACAAGATGCTAACATCATCTGTGGGAGTCTGGAATTATCAAAGACTCTTTCCTTATTTATATTTTACCCAAGTATTAGTATTTACAACTCTCTTATGCAGAACTACTTAACTTGCTTAATGCACCCTGTTAGGCAAATGGCTGCTCAATATTTTTCTTTAAATAATGGCTCTGAGTCAAGCAATTCTGAGCTCACAGCAACGTTAGAAAATTTCACTCCCTCCCACTGAAAAGTAACTACTCCTACCCATCCTTCTAAAATTCTTTGTTACGAAAGAAGGTATTCAGCAAATATAAATTGCCAGCATTATTATAATTTTAGTTACGGAGGGAAAAAGATTGTCTGTTACAATTCAACTTAAACCTTAACTCCACTTCTTGGCAATGAGGAATTACCAGCCATGCTTTGTTACTGCTTCACCACTCTACTTCGTACAGAAAAGTGCCCTCATTTGCATTTTACTAAAGGCACACTGGTACAAGATTTCACTAGAAGAAAGAAAATGTTAATTCTGAATTACGAAAAATGTGTATCGATTTATTAAGTCCATATTATGGTAGAATCAGCTTAACTGGCATGCCCAACATTTGTATTGTCAGTATACTGCACCACCAATTAATGATGGGACCCACTGATGGCATCTGTACATAAACTAGAAAAATGGCCTGTTTCTTGAATTTCATTAGCTGTAAATTACCGTTCATTAGCATATACATTATACTGCACAGCAATTTGGGCAGTCCAGATGAAAGAAGTGTGTGTTAACATACCGTTCTTCTTGTTAGTTTTACTGGTTGTGAGTGAATGAGGGTAATCTTCCTCATCAAGAGACAACTGCAACCTTTGTAAGCAGCTAAGATTTGAGTTTCCATTAATGCAACTGAAAATACACATAATTAGTTATTTCCCTGTGGAAAAGGTCACTGTGGTCTTTAAAACTGGCTTGCGGCTATCTTAAAAGGTACAGAAAACTTTCTCCTTTTATGAAGGTAGAGGAGGCAGCACTTGGGTATCTCCTAAGGAAGTCCACATCTCAGGGCTAACACAGGTTCAGCGACTCTCTGGATCCTCTCGAGCCCTGGTGCCAGCCCCGATCCTCTCCCCTTGGGTGACCTGACACCACACCGATCCACTTACCAGAAGAGCAGCTCCTTGAGATGGGGAAGGAGGGAGATTCCTGTGTTCACTTGGGGCAAGCAAACTAAACTTGGCTGGGACAAAAAATAACTCTGAAATCTCTCAGAAAGGGTGGGAGCTTAGGCAAGAGCTCCACAAACTTAGTGGGAAGGGATGTCTGACTGTCACATCTAGTCCAACCCCCTGTTCAGAGCAGGGCCAACTTCAGAGCAAGTTCAGGCCACTCAGGGCCACGTCCACCTGAGTTTGGAATATTTCCAAGGATGGAGATTACACCATCTCTCTGGGCAACCTGGTCCAGTGCTGCACCACTCCCTCTGTGCAAAGTATGTCTAGTCAGCGTTTTCCCTTCCGCAAGCTGCAGCTGTTGCTTCTTGTGCCTTTGCTATTCACCCCTGAGAAAGACAATGTTGTTTTCTCTTCTCTACAACCCTCCTTTAGATAGCAGAATTACATCTTCCCAGAGCCTCTTCTCCAGGCTGAACAAACCTACTCCCCTTGGCCTCTCCTTCCTATGTTGCTATTTTGCTATATAGTAGTTTATGTTATATAACACTTTATAACTTACTTGTGTTTTATTGTACTTGTAACATTACTTATAATAGTTACTTATTACTGTTATATTACTTTGCAATTTTCTGTTTCCTATTTTATATGTTGTATCAAAATAATTTCATAAAAATTACTTATGCTTATCTTTATAGAAAATATCCTCAGGGCAAGTAAAAAGTAGTTACCATTGAGTAAAACTCAGTAAGGAATAATCTATTTAAATTTCCCTTGGTCGTGGACCATGTCCTGCCCTGTATGTTCAGATCCTACATTAGTGGGACAACACCCTGGGTTACAACTTTAAATTGAGGATATAAAATTAGTCAGAATAACTGTACTAAAATGAAAAAGAATTTAAGCCTTTTTCGTTTCAATCACTAAGATCTAATTCTTCAGACTGTAGGATGGAATCAGGACAGAGTCAGAATAAAATCATAATTTCAACAGAAGCCAGATCCACAGATGCTCGCAGTGATGACTTCACACAAATGCAACTTTTACAGCATCCTCACTGTAAGAGTGAGCAAAGGCATAACATGCCAAAGTATTAAATAGTTTCAACTTCAATTTTAGATGTGGCACAAATTTTACAAGTTTATTGAAGTATTAAATTTGGAATAAATTACATGTTTAAATTCTGCCTAAAGAACTGGAACAGTGACAGTCCCTACTAACCACTTGCAGTGCTGA